AAATTTACTATTTTAAGCATTATTTCATATGATAGAAAATACAAGAAAGATAAAAAAATTATATATTTCATAAAATGTTTGGTTCCGGACCTGAATCAATTATGGACAAGTAAGAGTGAGAATCACTACAATAATTAATCAAGACAAAATCATGGAACCGTTATAATTATGTTTAGTAAATTTAGCTCCATCAAGATAGACCCAACCCATTGGTTTAGCCCTAGTTTTTATTAAATAAATTAAATAAATAAATAAAAGTCTATTGGGACGGGATTGGTATAGGCTATCTCGAACCAGACCTGGCTCGTTGACAACACTAAATATTGGGCTTAAGGGGAGAGAATAATTTGTTAGTAAATTATTTGTAAATAAATAAATAAATGTTTATTGAAATCTATCTCTTAATGTCACATCTCTTTTATTCTACCGATTTATTTTATTAAAATAAATAATTTATCTAATTTTATTAAATAAATAAATGTTTAGATAATAATAATAAAATAAAAAGTTGAGATAGAGAATAGGAGAGAGAGAGAGAGAGAGAGAGTTGAGAAAGAAGAGGAATGGCATATTATTTATAGGATGTCATAATCGTAAATAATTTTATGTGGCACTACTATAGTTTTCAAATGCTATTAAGTCAATTATATAAGGATATTTGTCTTATATGTGGCATTGTTGTAATTTTTGAACATTATAGAGACAATTATATAGGGAGGTTTGTCTTATATGTGTTATTCTTGTAATTTTCTAAACAAAGAGAGGTGGGAGAAAAGAGAGAATAAAGAAAAGAAGAGAGAAACACATTGTAAGTATCAACCTCACAATGCTGCCTACACCCTTCTAATGCTTTAAGTATATAGATAGATTGCAAATACTCTTTTACCCCACGCCCATGGTAACATGCCGTGCACAAGAAGCTCCCAAACAGCTAAAGTTTTCTGGTTGAAACTTGTCTAATTAACATAGAAAATACGTATAGTGCTACGATGGCCCGAGCTTGCATCAGGCCTCCAAATTTTATGGGTTAGGGTTGGGCCCAATATACTTTAGGCCTAGCCTAGACCTGGCCTAGCACACACATATTCATTTTGTATATGTAAATATTATAATATAATATTTTATTTATATAATACACATTATATATGTATAAAATATATTATTATATTATATGACATATAATATAAAATAATATATATATATATATATTTAATATTTTATTTATAGAGTTTATAGGGAGGCTGGAACCTCTCCCAGCCTATGTCGGTTGAGTAGGTCCAGGCCTGGGTTTATGTTTGAGGCTGGCTGCGCCACCCCTACCAAGGCTACCATATAGCATAGGAATTTGGTTACTAAATGTGGATTATTGTCTTTAATTGGCTTAAATATAGGGCATGAAGCTGCCTGAATGAAAAGCCTGTTTGGTGTATTAGTTCAACCAAAGTGAGTTATGCAACCCTTAAAATATCATTCCACTTTAACTGATCATTATGCCGCATGGTTTGGGGCATGCCTAACAATGATGTTCATCGGATCATATGGCCATAGCATTCTCCTTCTAGGGAAAGGAAATGAAAGGAAAGAAAAGGTTAGGTATGAAACCTATGCAAATCTATTCAAACCTTGAATAGCTTTTCATATGTCTTCCTTCCTTTTCCTACCTTTTCCTTCAAAGCAAACACAACTTAAATTTTGCAATATAGTCCTCCGTGTGTTTGGTGGTCTTCCCCTCCTAGATGGCTCGAATAAAAGCTGGGAGGATTCATCTAGACATGCAATTAATTTCGTTTTAACAAAAAATGAAAAAGAGGATTCACGAAACAATTATGATTCAACGCCAAGCAGAAAAAAAAGAACTTTTTTTTTTATTATTATTATAATTCAACTCAGACTATTGATTGCACATATAATGAACAAACATGAATGTATTTGTTTCGTAAAAAATTCTATTCGATGGCGTAGAATAGTTATGGAAAACAAACATTTTCCTGCAAGAGACTACTGATTGTGTTTCCTTCTTTTATATATATATATATATTGTAATTTCTGTTTCATTTTTTGGTAATTTGTGTTTTCTTCTAAAGACTCAGCTATTCCGGCTTGCTTTGGAGGTCATGGGAGATATGGATGCCATTTTCTTCATTAATTTTAGGGTAAAATATAAAACCGTCCCTCTAAGGTTTCGTTTTAATAAAAATCTCCCTTGCAGTTTTGAAAAAGACGGGAGTTACCTAAAATACTCCCAAGTCCCAACCAAAAGAACTTCTAAAAAAAATTTCTGAGGCCAAATTAAAAAGAACTTTCAATAAAAATCTCCCTAACATCCGAATTCAAGAATTTGGACTTTTTTAATTTTAAGGTTATATCTTTTAAGTAACATAAACTTGGCGCAACTATACTCATACATACATACATACATATCTATAAACTTGAACTTAGGCCTTAAGCCCAAATTTTAGGATTGTGTCTGAATTTACCCTGTCTAATTCGCCCTACTTGCACCCTCTACCCACTCCCCTTAATTTTACCAATCAGGATCTCAAATCCACAAGAATCTTACCTATACGTATCTATACAAGTACAACACTACAGCCGTACATCGAGAATATCGCGCGGAGATGTTCTTAACATGCGGCTGTAGTGATATAGTGATATGTATGTAGGTGTGGATAGCGTTATTGTGAGTAAGTGATCAGAACACTAATTTTACGTGCAAAGAATGTGATCTATAAGCAGTGAATTAATAATCCCACTCAGAAACTCCCTGAATGACAGACATGAGGCAAGTACGGCTACTCATCAAGCAGCAGAAGGAAGCTCATCAACGTCCATTCTCCGATCTCCATTGATAGATGGATAATAGCTTGACGACCCACTTCAATAGTCCAATAGTCCAATTAATTAAGAGCCAGAGCGATAGAGACAGACAGACTACCCTCCGTGATGCGAGAAGTGACCAATCAATTCAAAGATCCCCATCCTCCCGCTCGGCTGGCTGCCTTGTTCGGCGAGTGCAAGCATGACGCCATTATCATCACTAAAATGCTCTGAGGGAGAGGGAACAGTTGGATCAAGATTCGAGCATTCGGCGCTGCGCTGGGGCCTGGGGAGTTGCTTTTGCACGTTAACGAAGCGGTGACGGGTGCGCGTCTTTTCTTCCTCCAACACAAGCAAACGATAGCTTGTCCGTCGGTGAAACCCAACACCAGCCTCGGCTTGGCCTCGGCCCTCGGGAGAAGATGTTGCAGCACAGGAGATTATTTATTTAGCTACACGTCATTTGCCTACTGCTGCTTATCGGTCATCCGACGCTATCACCCACTCAGATTCCCATCCAACGGTTTTAGCACTCGAAAGAGGAGGAGGAAAGTCGAAGAAGAAAAGGAAAAGCTCTGGTTGGTCATCTTGGTTAGGACTTAGGAGTCAGGACTCAGGAGTGGAGCAGGGAAACGCGACCCGAGATTGCCGAGAAGAGAAGGAGAAAGAATGAGGGAGGGGAGATCAAGATCACGAATCACGAATCACGAATGACGATGCAATAAGTCTCAATTCCCGATAAAGAAGTAAAACTCAGGATCCACGGAATCGAATCGCCATGCCTGTCTGCCTTTGCCAGTCGCACGCGCATACGCGTCAAACAGGCATTGGATGTACGGACCACCCACTGTCAGAGACATAGAAACGGAAACCGAGGGATTCGTTAATAAGTGAAGTAACCACCACCCACTAGTGTGCGTGCAATCGTTTTAAATCCAGAGTTTATGAGCTGCTGCTTGCTGCTACTTCTACTGTGGCGTTATGCGTGCAATCGTTATGAGCTACTGTTGTGATGTAATGTACCACCTAATATTTACTCTTCTTCATGCCAACCCCATCTCTCTCTCTCTCTCTCTCCGTGACGTCTGTGTCTATTAGATTTGGAAATCAGCACTAGTACACAGGCGTAGTCAGTAACAATTGAAAAGGCCATATTGACCACGTTTGAACTACTGAAATTTAAATATTTAGGCGCTCTCTTACTAATAGATTAACCATGTCTTCAAATAAGCAAGAAGTGGAACTTGACAACTACTTTCAATATAACCATTGATTCATACATTTAACAGAGGATCAGGACCCACCATTTCATTCAAATAAGCAAGAAGTGGATCTTGACAATTTGATTGCATGACTGTAACCTATTAATTTACTATAATTATTTGGGTGGTTTAAAAATAGCTACTACAACTGCAAAACTACACCCACAAAATGAGAGCGATAAAATTAGTCTAACAATTGCTGATTCTTTGTGCATGCAATAACCTCCTATCTCTTTTCTTTTTCTTTATAGATCAAAGCACATATTTGAAAATTATATTAAAATTGAAGAAACAAAAAGAGGAGCCCCATCTCTTAGCTTTTTTTTTATAGATGCAATATCTTAGCTGAGACCTATTAAATGGTGGGTCATCATTCTTTATTGCATTGGTAATGTAAGGTCTATAGCTAAGTTATAGTCACTCATTTTAGCTAGAGCTTTCTGCAACACTTCTCTTTTATTTTTACCAGTACCACCTACTCATCAGTGCTAACAGTAACACCCATTTAGTCGTTAGAGAAGCCTTGGTCGTGTTTATTTTAGCACAAAACCATTATTTCTTATTTTTGTTTTCAGAACCTTGTGTTGTCTTATGTTCTGTCCCTAACTAGGGCTACCCAACTACCCATATAATCTCCAAAGGGTTCCCATTTGCTGTTCTCATGATCTCTAGTCCCTACAACAAGTACCCAATACGATCACAAGTCCCCTCAGGTCATTTCCCAAAGAAACAAGACCCTTGGTTTGTATGGAACTGGGTAGCTAGAACAGTGAACGGCATCATTTGAATGGGTTGGAAGCTTAAAATGGATAGGTAGAGGCCATCTCCACGTGAAGTTGGAGAAGGGCTAGTTAGTAGTTAGTACAGACTACAGAACAAGCAGTAGGGAAACTTATTAGTGATCATCTTTATTCCTTTTTCCCTCTTTTGAGACAAGGGCTTTGTGAACTTTATACTGTGCATGTATTCACATTTACAATTTATTGGGGGTCATGTTCACCAGGACTGTAGGGGCCACCAGTGTCTCGTTATTGGGGTCCCATTTATCCAAACGAAGAAACTTGGGGGCCCCAGCTAATCAGAAAAGGGAATAAATTAAAGGGTCTGTCAAAGCTAAAAACTCTCAAAAGTAGCACCACCACTACTGACAACACAAGACACAACTCCTTCCCTCTCTGCAGCAGCAATGGTGACATCTCTTTCGTCTTTTCTTGCCAACCCCCTCTTTCTCTCTCTCTCTCTCTCTCTCTCTCTCTCATTCATTAGCATTTAGCAACTAAAAACTCTGTTTTACTTATTTTCTTGCACAACAGTAATGCTACACTCTTACCGGAGAATGTCTTTGGTAATATAAGTTGAGCTTGTCTTTCTGACTCACACATCTGAGCTGAGACACTTCTGCTTTGATCCCCCATCTCCCATGCACTGCCCCGCTGCTTGGCTGTGCCTTACATTGTTTAGTTGGCTTTACATGACGAGCTTTTATTTGAACACTGCGAAGTTGTTCCGACAATCCAAGCGAGTTTCCCACAGATTCTAGGCTCGTCCTTGAGTGATCCTCCTCACGCAGTTTGCTGAAATATGGGTTTCTCTGCATGACCACCACTCTCCTATTGTCTTCCCACCAGTAAGTTGCTCCGTAGCTGGGTTTTAATACCTCTTTCTTCTTTTCATTTTCTTGTTCTTGTGAGGTTCTCTTGACGATGGCTGTATTGTTGTTAATGTTGACATTACAGTATACTTGTGATATAACATGGTGTGTTTAATACTCTGAATCCTCCTTTACCATTTCTTAGTATTCATTCTGTCATGAAAACTTTCTGGAGTTTGTTTCCTACTGCAGATTAATTTGCGGAACTTAATGCAGGTAAATCTGTTTTTATTAAGCTTCAAAATGGCTTCTGCAAGTTCCATGTTGAGCCTTTTCTTGGTGATATCGCTGTGCTCTTCAGAACTATTATCAGCCAGTGCTTCAGATTTGCAGGCACTGATGGCATTTAAATCGGTTCTAAGGAACCCAGAAGGAATAGCTGATTGGGGAGAGGGTCCTTCCCCTTGTACTTGGACAGGGATCACTTGCGGAAATGGCAGTGTTGTTTCCATTTCTTTGCCTCATCTGGGTCTGCAAGGCACTCTTCCTCTAGAGCTGGGATCACTGTCAAACCTTGAGCTACTTGACCTTGCGGATAATGAATTCTCTGGTCCACTTCCTCCTCGGCTCTGGAAGCTCAAAAAGCTTAAAACGCTTAACCTGAGCTTCAATCTCCTAAATGGGACCCTTTCTTCTGATGTCCAAAACCTAGAACATTTGCAGAAACTGATCCTTGGATCCAACAGTTTGTCAGGCAAATTGGACCCAGCTATTTGTTCTTGTTTAAGCCTTGAAATTTTGGATTTAGGTGCAAATTCCTTCACTGGGGAAATCCCAAATCAGATATCATATCTGTCTAAATTACAGGTGCTGGTTTTGGGAGGAAATGGACTTTCTGGTCCAATTCCATCGTCCATTGGTGAGCTTTTCAATCTTGTTTTTCTCGACCTTGGTGATGGCTTTCTTTCTGGATCCATTCCCACCAGTCTCTGGCAGCTGGAAAAGTTGCAGTCACTGGATCTATCTAACAACTCAATTAGTGGACCGATTCCTTCAATTATTGGCAGACTGTCAGCACTGAGGGATCTCCATGTAGGTCATAACAGGTTCGAGGGTGCCTTGCCTCGTGATGTTGGCAATTTGAAAAACTTGCGTAACTTGGATGCACCTTCTTGTGGGCTCACAGGCCCAATTCCTGATGAAATTGGCAATCTACAGAGCCTTGAGATGCTTGACCTCTCAATTAATCCATTACAGTCACAAATCCCCCCGTCCATCGGAAAACTGCAAAATCTGACAATTCTAAACTTGATTAGTGCAGCAATCAATGGGTCAATACCACCAGAACTTGGGAACTGCCGGAAATTGAAAACCGTGATCCTTACCTTCAATGACCTCTCCGGACCTCTGCCAGATAAACTTGCAGGCCTGTCGGATTCTATCATCTCATTCAGCATTGAACGGAATCACATTTCAGGACAGCTTCCACCTTGGTTTGGAAGATGGGTTTCGGCTGATTCGATCTTGTTGGCGTCTAATGAATTCCATGGCACGATCCCATCGGAATTTGGCAACTGTACATCCCTGACTTATCTCACCCTCAGTCATAATCAATTAACAGGAAACATTCCTTCAGAGCTCTGCAACTGCAAGTTCTTGTCAGAGCTTGACCTTGAGAACAATCTCCTCACTGGGATGATCAATGACACATTTCGATATTGTCAAAACCTTACCCAGCTTATTCTAGTTCAGAACAGGCTTACTGGGGCTATTCCAGCATATTTATCTGATCTTCCACTTCTGAGTCTTGAACTCGATTATAACAAATTTTATGGAGAGATTCCAGTGGAGATATGGAGTTCAAACTCCTTAATGGAGTTCAGTGCAGGCTTTAACTTCCTCGGGGGGACATTGTCTCCAAGGATTGGTGGCCTTGTTACCCTTCAACGTCTTATCCTGAATGACAACAGATTGGAAGGAAGAATACCAAAGGAGATTGGGGAACTTCGGGACCTATTAGTGCTGTCATTGAACCACAACCAGCTATCAGGAGAGATCCCTCGAGAACTATTCAGATGCAGGTCTCTGATGAGCTTAGATCTCGGGTTCAACAAACTCAATGGAAGTATTCCAAGAGAAATAAGAAATCTGACACAGCTGGAATTCCTAGTTCTTTCCCATAACCATCTTTCAGGTGACCTTCCCCTTGGAATAACTGAAGGTTTCCGCCAACCCTCAATTCCTGAAACAAGCTACTTCCAGCACCGCGGAGTCTTTGATCTCTCTGGGAACTTGTTTTCTGGCAAGATTCCTCAACAACTAGGTAACTGCATTGTGATTGTAGACCTGATACTTGGTAATAACAACTTCTCCGGTGATATTCCACCATCCATTTTCAAGCTCCCAAACCTCACTTCCATTGATCTTTCTTCAAATCAACTGGAAGGGAAGATTCCAAATGAAGTTGGTGATCCCTATAAGCTTCAAGGTCTAGATTTGGCATACAACCGTTTTCATGGTGAGATCCCGACTGAGATTGGAAAGCTCAAGAATCTGGTTAAATTGAATCTGTCAGGGAACCTGTTTACAGGATCTGTTCCTGCTTCGATTGGCAATCTTGGAACTCTTTCTGATCTGGACCTCAGCAACAATCATCTCTCTGGTATGCTACCACTATCCCTTTCCATGTTGACAAAAATTGTTGGCCTGTACTTGCAACAGAACCAGATCACAGGTGACATCAATGGAGTGCTCATGCAGAGTGGTTCATGGCGACAAATTCAGACTTTGAACTTGAGTTTGAACTTATTATCTGGTGAAGTTCCAAGCTCAATAGCAAACCTGTCATATCTAAATTACCTGGATCTGCATAACAACAGGTTCACTGGAACAATTACCAGATACCTCGGCAATCTTTCACAGCTTATGTACCTGGACATGTCCAACAACTTGTTTCATGGGCAAATTCCACAGGAGCTATGTGACATTACTGATCTTAACTTTCTTAATCTTTCAAACAATCAGCTATGGGGCCCAGTTCTGAATTGTGGGAAGTTTACAGGTAGATCATTTCTGAACAACAGTGATCTCTGTGGATCTTCAGTAGGGCGTATTTGCAAATTTGGACGAAGACAGAGGAGACGGTTGCTTGACACACCTGCCATCTTGATTCTATCACTGAGTACCTCTTTTTCCTTTTTCTGCTTGTTTATTGTCTTCCTCAAATGGAAGACTCTCTTCCAGGATAGCATGAAGCCTCTTCCAAAGAGCATGGCGAAAACCAGAGTGGCAACCATGAATGACATAGGAACCAGTTTTGAGCAGCCTCTTCTCCAGCTGACACTCTCAGACATCCTTCATATCACAAACAATTTCTCCAAATTGAATGTGATTGGTGATGGTGGATCAGGAACTGTATATAGAGGAATCCTTCCAGATGGGAGGATGGTTGCAATCAAGAAGCTTGGGAAGGCACGGGACCAAGGAAGCAGAGAATTCCAAGCAGAAATGGAGGCAATAGGAAAAGTGAAACATAAAAATCTAGTCCCCTTGCTGGGATACTGTTCTTTTGAAGACAACAAGATTCTGATATTTGAATTCATGGCAAATGGAAGCTTGGAGTCCTGGTTAAGGAATAAAAGTGAATCACTGAATGTATTAAGTTGGAACAAAAGATTAAAAATTGCAACAGGAACAGCAAGAGGGCTAGCTTTTCTGCACCATGGTGTTATCCCACGTGTTATTCACCGGGATGTGAAGGCCAGTAACATTCTTCTGGATCAAAATTTTGAAGCACGGGTCTCAGACTTTGGGTTGGCAAGAGTAGTAAGTGCATATGACACCCATGTGACCACTGAAATAGCTGGTACATTTGGGTATATTGCACCAGAATATGCTCAGAGCTGGAGGTCCACAACAAAGGGGGATGTGTATAGTTTTGGGGTTATACTATTGGAGATGGTTACAGGAAAAGAGCCAACTGGTATCTGTTTTAAGGATGTTGAAGGGGGAAATCTGGTAGGCTGGGTTAGAGAAATGGTGACAAGAGGAAAGAGTGTAGAAAGTTTAGATGGAAGAGTCTCCAATGGAAGTGTTTGGGTTGCCCAGATGGTTGAGGTGCTGCATCTTGGACTCGTCTGCACAAGTGAGGATCCAATGAAGAGGCCATCCATGCTGGAGGTGGTTAAGTTTCTCGAAGATATTGGTGGAGAATAAAAAGGTTTCTCATTTGTATATGGAGGCTTTCAGAAATCAAGCTTTCCCTACATTTAATCTCCACATGTATTTCATTAGTTTTCTTGTTTTCAAAGGAAAGTATTTATTGTCCAGAATCTATCACAATAGACATGGCTCCTTGGTTCTTATTTTATTTTCCCTTTGTAAAGAAAGCAAATTTATGTAGATATTTTTACAAGTTCAGTGTGAAACAAATAGTAGTGTGAATAACTCATTCTCATCGTTTCATGAACCTCGCAAACCATCAAATGTGCTTTGTGGCCTCCAAAAACCTCATCTTGCTTATTGCTTTACTTCCATGTTTGGTTTCTTAAATTCTCTTTGTAAGGAGAAGCAGATTTACATGGATATTCACAAGTTCAATGTGCAAAACAAATAATAGTGTGAACATGAAAAAGTGAATCAAACAGCAAAATTTATGTCCAACTCATTCTCAATTATTTCATGAACATCGCTAACCACCAAATGTGCTTTGTGGCCTCCAAAAACCTCAGCTTGCTTCTTGCTATCCTTCCACAACTGTTACGAGTCATCTCTATTAGCATTAAGAAGAAAAATATTGACATAGACAACCAGCAAACAAATGTGACAAATATATGCATATGGTACCTGTATGGTTGGCATTTTCTATATAGGTTTTCCAGGTCCCCAAGTTTGAGATAACATGAAACAGCACAGAAATTGTCAAATACGATTTTTAGCCTAATAAGTGACAAATAATTATTTTTTCAGGACTTGAGATAAAATCGTTGAATAGATTTTCTTAGTTGCTGGCTGTACATGGAGCATGCTTGAAAGATACTTGTATTTTCAGCAGAGATTAATACAATACAAAAAAGATTTTCTTATTTGGTTGAAAAAGAAAGAGCCCATGAAAGGGATTTACTACTTTCACATGCTACAGGTTTGCAATAAATGAATGCTTCATAAAATTCAGATTCAGAAAGATGAAGCTAGAGCAGCAGGAAAAGTTACCTTACCATCTTTAATTTATGGAAAAATGATACCTATGGAAAATTCCCCGTTGGTTTTTTTGGTATTAATCACTGCTTGACACCCGTATAGGGGTCATTACTCTTTTAATTGAAGAGTACAACATCACAACAACTGCCTCAAGTAATCACACAATTCTTTTCTTACAGAGATGATAATAGCGGGATTTGAAACTGGACCACCGCTGGGGCAATTCATCCTGCGCACCAACTGGGCTACCCGTCAGTTGGTTAATTCCCCGTTGGTTTGGTAACAAAGTATGAAAAGTAATATCCAGACATAATGGCACCTATATAACCTATAGGCTTCTCTACAGGGAACATTTATTCCTGATTCATGTCAAAGAGGTAATAGGTCAAATTTTAGGAGCTTTACTTGGTTTTGAAGTCATTGCATCTAATAGGTATGAGGTGAAGAGTGTTAGGAGTCTTTAAATTGGGGAATATATCAATATAAGGCCTATAATATCATTGAAAAAGAGAATTGTAAGATTGAGATTTTTACCTTTTGGCTTATGCAGTTTGAGTATGATGCTCAACAAATTTTCTTAATTTTTCCAATGTCCTATCTTTGCTACATTAGTTCTTCTTGCCTTTGAGTGTACTGCTCAAGAATTCTTTTTGACCAAGATAGGAATGACTCCTCTATCTATCTTCTTTTCTCAATTCTGTATGTGTTCCATTACTATTTGTGGGAGATTAATTCATTATTGCAAGTCTACTACATTATGACTTTTGGAGAAAGGAAATATACATTTACTTCTCATAACATAATCCATTACCATTTATATATTAATACTGGACTGATAGTATGTATTACAGGATCTTACAATAGTAGTTCTTTACATTTTTTTGGAACTGGTGATCCGTCATGTAAAGAAAAGTAGTTAGTTGTAACTTGTAAGGAAACTGAATTGATCATTCATAAATAAAAAACAATGCATATGAGATCACAATAGTATTATTTGTTCACATACCAGAAACAGAAAATATAGACTTGACACACATTTAAAGAGTCTTACTGTGATTCCTGCATGAGCCACAAGTCTGTATGGGATGATGTTGACATCAACACAATAGAACCGGATTCTGCATCATGACATAGAACAGATCTATTCTCAATCACATCACGACCAATCCATATTAAAGAATAATCTGATTTTAAGCGCCTGCCAAATAGACTGCAAAGATGGTATACCAATGACCCACTAGAAAGTGGTGTTAGGGCAATTCCTCACAGGTAGCCTGTGTGTGAGAGGAGAGCTCCAGGAATTTATTGGGTTCTATTGAGGTGAACCTTTTGTGCCAAAACTGACCCAATAAAATGACACTAATCATATGTGAACTACTGAACTATATGAGAACAGGTAAATTATTGGGTTCTATTGAGGTCAACCTTTTGAAGTCATTTTTTAGCATTGTGAGATCCACCAGGTGGTCCAGTTGTACTCATATTGCAGTGAGTCAGTGACAGCCAATTTGGTACCAAGTCATCTTGGTTTTATATGCAGGTTGTTTCATGATAAAATGAAAATGATTTCAATTTAAAGTTTTGATGAAGGATAGGTTCCAATTATGTACACGTTAGCAAGTCTAAGTACTAGATGGTTAACCCAAAGTTCCCAGACGGAGTGACGAAGCGATGGAGAAACGAAGCGACGAAGATTTTCAGGCAGTGAACAGGTGGAAGTCTGAACTGAATATCGAAGCGAAGAAAATACTACTTGAGAGTGGAAGGGCCAGGGATACCGATCCCAGTCCAATGGTTGCAGCCTGTGTAGGAGAGGAAGGGGTAAGAGATAGAAGTAGAGATAGGGAGGGTCAGGAGAGAGAGGTAGGAAGAGAGGAGGAAGTAAAAAGAATTAAAAGAATCCTGGAAATCCTTGAGAGCCTGTTAACTGAAGTTGAGGAGAATAATTTACAGAAGGAAGGGGCAGAGGGGGTTAGTATAGAAAGAAATGAGGAGGGAGGAGGTAGAGGTGGGGAAACAAGTCAGGAAGAAAGGAATAGAAAGTTGGACAAAAGAGAGCTGACTAGTGATGATTCTGTGGCAACCTTTGTGCAGAAGTTGGGTGTAAATTGAAAGATCCAAATGACCTCAAAGTGTTTCTACAAAAAAAAGAGAGAAGACGTTAAGGTAAAAAGGAGAAAATTGAGTGAGGCTGAAAGACTGATGAAAAATGTGGAAGGAGAAAAAAGTTTTGGTGTTAAAGGGGAAAGGAGGAAAGGTAACAAGTGAGGGCAATAGGTGTAAGGGGTGGAAAATAGAGATAAATGAGGATCATAAGCTGGAATATTAGAGGATTGGGAAGTGCAAAAAAGAGAGCAGTAATAAAAGAGGCCATCAAGAAAATAGATCCAGATGTGGTAATGTTGTAGGAGACCAAAAGAGCAGAATTTGGCATCAAGTGGGCAAGGAGTGTATGGAGAGGTAGGGGGATTAGTTGGGCGGCCCTGCCTTCCTGGGGATCTGTAGGAGGTGTTGTGACAATGTGGAAGAATGATGTACTTGTAGGTATGGAGGAGTTGATAGGACAATTTTCAATTTCCTTGAAGTTTAGGCACGTGGAGGATGGATTTGAATGGGTGTTAACCAATGTTTTTGGGTTAAATGATTATAGAGAAAAGAGGAAGTTAAGGGAAGAACTAGTGAATATAAGGGGGTTGTGGGAAGGACCATAGTGTTTAGAAGGTGACTTCAATGTAATCGGATTCTTGGAAGAAACAAACAGTCCTAGGCAGAGGTCCACTACGAGTATGAGGAAATTTAATCAATTTGTGGATGCCTATGAACTTAAAGAGATTCCATTGTCACACATCTGTTTTACTTGGTCCAATATCTAGGTGAATCCAATTTGCTCCAAGTTGGACAGATTCTTATTTTCAAATGATTGGGAAGAACATTGGGGGAATTTAACCTCTAAAGCACTTCCAAGAGTGACCTCCGACCATTGGCCTATTGTAATTTATAAGGAGGAGGTGAGAAATGTAGGACCTGCACCATTTAGATTCGAAAACACGTTAGGACACCCGAACTTCATTAGAAAGTTAAAGAGTGGTGGTTAGAGAACAATCCAACAGTGGAATGGAGTGGAATGTGGTTTCACAAAAAGCTCCAATATTTGAAAGTTAGAATCAAGGAATGGAATCTCTTAGAGTCTGGGATATTAGAGGAAAGGAAGCAAACTATGACTGCACAAATTGAAATCCTGGATAGCAAAGAAGGGAGGGGATGCCTTACAAAAGAGGATAAGAAACAAAGATGGAAACTGCGCAAACAGTTAGAGGACTATCTTCTTTAGGAGGAAATAAGTTGGAGGCAAAAGTCAATATGCAAATGGCTGAAAGAGGGGGATAGGAATACCAAGTTTTTTCATGTTGTGGCAAGTGGAAGAAGGAGAAGAAATTTTATCTCAAGTCTAGAGATTGAAGGGGCATCAGTTTCCATTCAAAGAGAGATTGCAGGGGCCTTTGTGGATTATTTTAGGTCTATATTTAGAAGACTCCTAAACAATAGGGTGTGGCTTGAGGGGTCGGAATGGCCAACATTGAAGCTAGAGAATAGGGAGTGGCTGGAAAGGAAATTTGATTTGGAAGAGATAAAGGAGGCGGTGTTCTCTATGGATAGATCAAAGGCACCAGGCCCAGATGGTTTTACGATTGATTTTTATTAGGATTGTTGGGAGATATTAAAGGACCTAAGGCTGGTTGGTATTTGATGAATTCCATACTAGAGTGATTAACCCTGGGCTAAATTCCACATTCATTGCCTTGGTACCCAAGAAAAGAAATGCAAACCATTTGAGGGATTATAAGCTGATCTGCCTAGTTAACAACCTTTATAAGATTATCACTAAGGTGTTGTCAATTAGAATTAGAAAGGTGATCCCAGCAATCATAGCAAATAACCAAGGAGCTTTTGTGAAGGGGAGGTAGATAACAGATCAAATACTTGTAGCAAATGAGAGTTTGGAGTATTTCAAGAGATCCAAGAAAAAAGGGGTGGTCTGCAAATTGGATTTGGAAAAGGCTTATGACTTGGTTGATTGGTCTTTCCTACTGGAGGTGATGATCAATTTTGGGTTTGGAGAAAATTGGTGCAAGTGGGCAATGGGTTGCATTAGGAATTGCCATTACTCCATCTTGGCGAATGGGACAATGGTGGATTTCTTTCCAGCTTTGAGAGGGACTAGACAAGGAGATCCTCTCTCCCATTTTTTATTTACTTTGGTTGTAGAAGTGTTGGGGAGACTAATTTCCAGAGCAGATTCCAGGGATTTAATAAGAGGGTGGAGAGTTGGAAGGGAGAACATATCACTCACACATTTGTAATTTGCAAATGACACAATACTTTTTTGTGAAGGAGGGGATCTCAATAAGATCAGAAACTTGAAGCTCATCATACAACTCTTTAAGCAAATGCCAAATCTTAAAGTGAATTTCGAGAAAAGTTGTATAGTTGGGGTTAATTTGGGGGAGGGGGAGGTATCCGAGTGTGTAGACACTTTGGAGTGTGTAGTGTCTAATTGGCCTTTAAACTACCTTGGTTTGCCATTGGGAGATAATACTTAGAAAGGTGGATTTTGGGTTCCGGTTGTGGAGAGATTTGAAAAGAGACTTGCCACTTGGAAGAAAAATTACTTGTCTCTTGGAGGGAGAATTACTCTAATTAGGTCTACATTAGCTAACCTTCCTATATATTTCTTATTAGTCTTTAAGATTCCGGTTAGGGTGGCTAGCAGGTTGGAAAAACTAATGAGAGACTTCCTCCGGGAGCCGGGGGAGGAGAAAAAGGATGGTAGAGTTAGGTGGGAGGTGGTGTGTAGGAGCAAGAAGGAGGGAGGTCTAGGTATGGGGAACATAAGGAATAGGAACTTGGCACTACTAGGGAAATGGCTGTGGAGATTCTCATTGGAGAAAGAAAAACTTTGGGTTAAGATAGTGGATAGTATTCATGGGACTGCAGGCAATGGATGGGACTTTGGGATTCTAGCAAGGACTACAAGAGCATCTCCTTGGAAAGCTATTCAAGTTATTTTTCCCTTGTTCTCTCCCTGGATTAGGTATGACTTGCACTCAAGAAACCTCATTAAATTTTGGGAACATATTTGGGTTGGGGCTTCCTCTTTAAAAGACCAATTTCCAATTCTTTTTGCTATCTCTACCCTTAAAAATGAACCGGTATCCTCCTTCCTTGTACTTTCTAACTCAACTTCTGGATTTGGCTAGAACTTGGGTTTGAGAAGAGACATCAGGGACACAGAGTTAGGCTGTATTTCAATCTTATTATCCATCCTTCAAGGGGTCTTCCTAGAGCCAACAAAGGCAAGCACTAGAATTTGGACACTCATTCCCTCGGGTTCCTTGACTTGTGCCTCATTCTTTAAAGCCCTAATACAACCTTCTTCTGTTGGACTGTCCTTCCCTATTAAAGAGGTGTAGTGTCAACCTATTGGAAAGAGTTAATACAGGAGATTTACTTCAAAGAAAAAGACCCAATAGTTGTTTGTCTCATCACTGGTGTGTTCTCTGTAAAGCTGACGGTGAGTCTGGATACCATTTATTAATTTCCTGTTAGTTTGCTAAATTCATTTGGGAATGGGTCACTTCTCTGTTTGGGTGCAGGTGGACTCCCCCATTGAATGTGCAAAGCTTATTCACTTCCATGCCTAACTGACCAACAAAAAGGGCTAAGATTATGTGGAGATGTGCTAGGGCTGTAGTTTGTTGGATTGCTTGGGAAGAGAGAAATTCACGAATTTTTTCAAATAAGGAGAGAAGCTTGGAAGTAATATTGGAGGTCATTCATATTAGGGTGATATATTGGTTGAAAACTTTGGACATGTTTGCAGATTTCTCAGTTGATGAGTTGCTAAGAAATTGGAAGGAGATTGCAGAATCAACTTTGGCTAAGAAGGTTTGAGTTCTTGCTGGACCCCTCCACCTCACAGTTTGACTAAACTGAATTTCGATGGCAACAAAATGGGCAATCCAGGGTCCTCCGGAATAGGGGGAGTTATAAGAGATGAACAAGGGAATATGTTAGCTATGTATTCTGGTCCAATTGGGGTGGGAGATTCCTTGAGGGCTGAGATACTAGCAGCTATTGAAGGGGTACAAAGGGTCAAGGACATGCATATTAATAAATTGATCATAGAAGGAGACTCTAAAATTGTGGTGAACTGGCTAAAAGAGGACAACTCTAGGCTCTGGAATTACAACAATGAAAAAAGGAAATTTAAGTGGCTGACTAAGGACATTGAAATTCAATGTACATGGGTAAAGAGAAGTGCAAATTCATTGGCAGATGGTCTAGCTAAGTGCAAATTCATTGGCAGATGGTCTAGCTAGGCAAGGGGTGAATAGAAACTCTATTTTTTGGGCTGTGTTGTAATTGCTTTAATTTTGGGTGTACATTGGATGTATTCGGGAGTTAAGAATGTTTAGCTCCTTTGCTTTGTAATTTTCAATCCGTTAATAAAATTCACTGTTATTGATAAAAAAAAAGGTACTAGATGGTTAACAGAGGAAACTGAAAAGTAGCTCCAACCTTGAATGGTAATATGCTGCCAATTTTTCCAACTTGGGTTTCAAATATATAAATTTTCTGCACCAGCTTGCCATCCTACATGTCCATATAATGAATTAGATCTTTGAAAAGAACTGCATTATTTCAAAAATCATCAAATAATGTACTAGGGACTACATTGCACATTAATCATGGGATCTCTTTTCAGATAAAGCCAAATAATCTTGTCTAAAGTTCAAGTACACAGAAAGGCCTTTTTTATGATCAGTAACATAAGATGGATTTTATTAATTATAAGGATACATATTGTCATAAAACACACGTTTCAAATTTACTTGGAATCGAAGGTTGAAAAGCATAACAAACAGTGGCAGCTGTCACAACCAGCACTATAGAATTACAGTGAATAACATGTTTCTTCCCAGGCCTGATGATCCCATTTCAACTCATTTCTGATGATTCGGGTATCCACCTGAATGCACAATTCAATTGAGAGGCCGATATCTTTACTTGTCACAGACCTTAGTGACCATGGTCATTTAATCCCTACAAAGAACCGGATTATAGCTACTTTGCAATATCTTCCAACTAAAATGCAGCTCCAAATTGCAGCATGTGCTAGTTTAAATCCTTGAAGAAATGCAAGAAACTCAGCCCTCAAGGAACTACTCAACAGGGGCCTCAAAAACTTAAATACTATATTTCCAGCATGATCTGTAAAAGTACTCCCCAGTCCCCACACCATATTTCCCCAGGTTGCGTGGGAGAAATCTGGTATCTTAGTAAGATCTTTCTACTACAACACCTAGCAACTTTTCAACCTCAGAAATCTGGTGTTCGGCAGTACCTCAAAGGTGTCTTTTTCTTGTTTGGATTTTGGACAGCTATACTCAACAGATGCTTGAATAAGGACAAATTGCAAAGGAGGGTTGTGGGGCTGAATGGTGATATTTGTGTTATGGAATGCCTGTACAGAATCAGTAAATCATCTGTTTTTCACTGCAATTTTCTGAGAGGCTATGGACTTGGATGAAGGTTTGTTTGGTGTGGAAGGATGTACTCTAGAATTGGTTGAAACCTTCTTTCAAAGCTGGCAATTGAAAGGCTTGATCAAAGGCAAAGCAGGGGATAACGCTTTGAAGATAGCCCCTTTTTCTGTTTTTTTGTGCCACATAGACTAAAAGAAACACTCAGATTTTTTATATAACAAGCAAGAATCAAAACAAATAGTGACAAGGAAACTATTCAGGGGAAAACCATACAATTCTTATTTTGGTACAGGAAATCTTTCTGTATAAACAACGGGGAGGACATGATGTAGAATTTTGTACATTCCCATTGCACAGTTCCTTGGTGTACATGGGGCTGGTGTACTTGTCCCTAGTCAGTTTCGTACTTCGTTTATACTTTATAGTTTATACAAATCTATACTCTATCTTCTTCTTCCAAGAAAGTCATATTTTATTTTCCCCATCTCAAGCGCCTCCCGTGGCTGAAGAAGAACCAGTCCTTCAGAAGAAAACCATCCACCAGAGCAACCTCTCAAGATAGAGTACATCGAGATTCCTTTGAACTCCTTAATCATCATCAATGAGCCACTCTCACCGTACATAAGTCAACGAAGGCATTTGGGTCCTGACTATTGTTTTCAAAAAATCATGGAGTTAGGTACACATCACAACTCCAAAGTATGGCGGCCCTTGCATAGTGCTAAAGAATCTTGCTCGTGTGCAATGATCGGGTATAGATATCAATGTTCAGGTCCAACTTCTAGCAAAGAGCTTGAAGTTAAACATAGTAGTCAGATATGTAAGAATATTTCAGGTGGTCCACTTATTGAATTTCTACTAATTTTCTAAGTTCTTTTTTATTATTTTTGGGTACATAGTTCTTCTTCTAAAAAGTCTTAAGAATTTAAGCCAAAATTCTCATTCAAGATAACCCCTCAAACATCAAATTAACTAAACCGAATTTCACATTCACCAACCCAAAAGCCGAATTAACAAACTAACAAATCGAGCTTTCAATACAAATTTTTTCTACCTGGAACGTTTTGGGTACAAATTGGTGAGCAATATGTATTTGTCACATCACAAATGAGGGTCACTTCAGCTAGAAAAATGCATGTGTGGGACTGACCATTCAAGTTTATAGTATAAACAACAATTTGTATCCATCAACCCAAAACTTTCCAGGTAGAAAAAAATATCTCTCACCAAGTTGTTTTAATCAGCTAGAAATGAAACGAACCAGACAATAATAACCGATTCTTCGAGCTGTTGCGCCTCGGCAATGATCTGGTCAAACTGCTCTTCGCTGACGATGGGCTGGAGCTGGATTGAAACGGGTGCATCGAGGTCCTCCTGCAAAGGACCCTCCGCGGTCCAGACAGTTGGCATTGTAATCTTCCTTTCAAATTTGTTGGTCATATCGGGAAGACCCAAAGAAAATTTAGTAAAAGCAGCTATTTCGGTTTCTGAGATTGAGAAATGATGAAGAAACCTCACATGCCCAGATGAGGACTCATATGGTTTTCTTAGCTGCGAAGATTGGATGCATGGAGAGATCGAAAGGGTGCCTGACATTTCCAAAAGGATTATTAAAATTGAAAGAAGAAAATTGGCAGAGAATCTACGGGCGGACGGGCAGTTGAAATCAGAAACCTCTCTCTCTCGAAAACCCCGCAAGGCTCTCGAGTTCTAATTTCTAGCTCGGGTGCCGGGTGCGCATGTCTTTAACTCTTGATCCCTTCTTAGTTCTTATACGGTCAAAGGTGAAAACGACGTAGTTTTTTTAGCTCGGCTGCGTGTCTTGATCCCATTTGATTCGTCATATCAACGGCTATTAAGCGTTTGTGAACTTGATCTTGGGCATATGATAGGTGCTATCGTGTTATATGACTTATGATGCGTCGTGCTAACTCGGACCGGGCCCAGCCGGCTTGAAGTATAAGCAGTAAGCTCGGGCTTTGTCCTACACTGCCTAGATTTTAGTTTGTTTTTTGCTCAGTTAATACAAATATGGACAATGCATGCTATCATTGTTTGTGTTGGTTCATGGGCTACACAATGGGGTACCCCGTCCCCCAAACCCATACCCCCCAACGGGATTTGATCTTATGTCTCTAAATCCAGTCAAAAACTGAGCCGTCCCAGCATCAGTTGCATGGGTGGAGTTGGGGATTTTCAGAAATCTTTTTTCTCCCTCTTAATCTATTAGTAGCCTCCTCTATAAATCACATCCTGCCCGTAAATTTGATATCGATCCATAGATAAAAATCAATCCACCCCTAAGAAATCCTAATTTCACATAGAGGTGGACCGAATCATTAAAACCCCTTATTTTTATTTTTTGTCCGTGTGTAAGGGACAGATGAACATAGACGGAGTCAGGTCAGGGTCAGGGCATAGTGAGAATTCCGGGGCATAGGGAGGCTGAGGCTCCCGGAGTCCTTGGCTTTGCCTATGCCTATGATCAGTTGTTACTAGGGGTGTTAGATTGGAAGGTTCAAATCGTAAAATCGAACTAAATTAAACTAAATTTGTGGTTTGATTTGATCTGTACCTGGTTTGACTCATTTTGATGTTTTGTTGAGTTGTAATTTATGGTTTTGATTTGGTTTATTAGATTTTATAAATCAAACCAAATTGTAAACCAAAATTATAATTTATAAATATTATATATAATATTTAAGTCGGATGTATACAATTATAAATGTATAATACTCTTTTGTTTTATATAAAATAATAAAATAAAAATCTTAAATTTTAATTTTTAGAGATGCTATTTGGGTCTTCTAATTAGGTTAAGCACAATTGAATCATATAATGGTCCAAAGTCCTCAAACTGTATTAAGAACTGCACCACACAATAATAAAACAGTTTAGTTTGATTTTGTTTCCATACCAAAACAGTTTGGTTCGGTTTAAAAAATTTTCAAATTATAATTTATTGATTTTGTCTAAGATATTTTCAAATCACACTGAATTGGACTGTGAACACCACTAAAGCACTGATGACATTTTACACCGAACCAGAAAATGGCCGTTACATTTTTGAAAATAGTGATGGGTGGAAGAGTAAAGTTTTACATCGATAAAACCGATGTAATTTTTACATTGATTATCGATGTAAAACTTTAGAAGCAATGAGATTTTACATCTATTATCGACGTAAAGCTGTACTCCATCCAAACGCATGCAAAATTGAATCGAAATATAGTATTACGTTGATAATAATTACACCCTCTTTCCGAATGCATATAAAACCAAACCGATATAAAATTTAGATTAAGGAACTGAAAAATTACTTAAAAGGTTAAACCTCTTTTTTGGCTTTAGCAAATAATTAAACTTCTCTTTGCGATAAGAGTCTGGATTTGCCATACATAGCTGTACATGGGAGACCACTATTGTACTTGCTTTCCTTGGTGGAAAGATGTTCGTATAAGGGTCAGTGACTGTATTGTGTGTAGTGAGTAGCATGTTGGTAGTTCTTCTGGGTAGCAGATCGGATTTTCTAAAAAAACTTTTTTTCTGGTTTAAAATAAGTAATCAAAAGCGCCCCTTCCATTAACTATCTTGCAAAACCCTTCATCATGAATATGAACAATGAACAATATTATCCTCTTTAGATTGTACTAGTATAGTGTTTCTATTAATAAGAGGCAGGTTTTGATCAAGTGAACAATGAAACCTAATGAATCACCTTTTGGGGGTAATTTAATAAGTCTCAATAATTTTTTTTCACTGGTAAAAACGGGATTTTGAAAACATTAAAGAATTATATAAGCAATTTTTCAACTAGACAATTAATGAAAGGGTGTGTTTGCATATTTATTTGAAACATGATAGAAGGTTTTTACGAAAGGTCAAAATAAAAATAGATGGGAGGTTTAAGAAATTTTCCCTTGAATATATTATATAATAATTATATAACATATAATATACACTTAGTAAAATATGAAATGTATAAAAAATTATAAATAGTCTAATAAATAAAAGGCTAAAACACAAAAACCCTGTAGTTTTACTTTAGTAAAAACCTCCCCTGAATTTTTAAAGATCTTGACAAAAACCTTCCTTCCGTTAGTGATTCAGACGAAAAACTGATAAAAATACGAAATTCCCCCGATTAATTGTCAGGGATTCAATAAAATATTTTAAAATGTCAGAATTGCCCCTACTTCCCCTTCTCTCTCTCTTCTCCATCCTCATTGTCCCCACTCTCTTCCGTTGAGTTGATTCCAACATTTCAAAATATTTTATTGATTCCCTAACAATTAATTAGGAGCAATTTCATAATTTTATCAGTTTTCTGTCTGAATCACTGACGGAAGAGAGATTTTTGTCGAGATCTTTAAAAGTTCAGGAGAGGTTTTTGCTAAAGTAAAACTACAGGAAAAGTTTTTTTGATTGTCAAAAACTTCAGGGGAGGTTTTTGGCCTGATGTGAGTACAAAATGGGCCTCGATACAAAACGTAGGCTCAAGCCTAAAACTTTGTGGGTTGGATTCTCTTGAACAGGGTAGGAATGATCAACTCTGCGACTCTACCTCGACTTTGGTCTCTTACCCACAAGAACTCTACCCCACACCTACCCACAAAACACTACATCTGTGTATTTAGATTATCTCTCCATGCATAACAACATGTAAGAGCATGAAATGTTCTTCATGTGTGGCTGCGATCTCATGTGGGTAGAGTCATCATTTAGGGATCCGGACTCACCTACCTCTTTGATTGCAACCATGGTTAAACATAGGATATGAAAATCAGTTACTATGATCTTGATATAATATTTGGTTTTGGCGCTATCTTAGATGAGACTCATCTATTGATGGATCTTGTATTTACTTACAAGGCATGCTGAAATTTTATCTTTGCTTATGTTCATGCAATAACATTTATTTAATTTTAATACTGTATGTTCTTCAAGGATCGCTAGTTGGTATAACGGGCAAATAACATATTAAAAAGAAAATTACTTCTTTTAGATAAAAAGAAAAATTCTATAAAACATTTAGGCCAGTTATACTGCATGGGACAGTGTTAGGCAGTCAAGAAATAATATGTTCAAAAAACCTGTGGCAGAAATGTATATGGCTCTATGCTGACATGGATAAGTGGGAAAAATAGATTGGATAAGACAAAAATGAAGTCATTTGAAAAATCTAGGAGTGGCTCCAAAGAAATGAGAGAAATTAGACTAGTTTGGTCATGTGCTAAAAGACCACTTACAGCACCTATATGAAGAAGCAATCTATAATAAGTTGAAGGGGCTAAAAGGGTTATAGACAAACCTAAAAGAACTTGACTTGGAGGAATAAGAAATGAGTTAAACGCTCATAATTTTACAATGGATATGACGTTAAATAAAACAGAATGGCAAAACAAGATAAATGTAGCCAATCCCAAATGATGGTGAAAATTATAAACATGCTAATGTCTGAAAAACACTTCTAACTAACAGTCCTCTTTTATTGATCAGCATGCCTATTCAAATAAAGGGTCCAACTACAATATTGCTCACTTATCAAAAATAAAATTACAATATTGCTCACGTCTACTATGGAATCAACTTAATAGGCATTGAAAATGAATAGAGAAAATTGAATGAACAAAAAATAAAAAAAAAAGGAAAAGGGAGGACTACTAAATATGGTGTACACAATCATGATATCTTTTCTGTTTGTTGGGGAACCTCCATGCTTTAGCTCAAATTCTCTATAATTTTAGAGAGGGCTGAAAATGTTCCATAGCCAGAACATATGACACCTACTATAATAATCAAAATACACATTGATCCCTACAAAAAATAAAAAAGATGTTAATATGTACTGGCAATCAGGGAAAGGAACAATTAACCAACTCAAAAGATAACCATCAAACGAAAAAATAAATAAAAAGAAAAATATATTTTTTTCTTATTGCTATTAAGTTTATGTAACTGCTCCATGGACTTGAGCTCTGGCTATAGAGGTTCTTGACATCTACTTCTTACGTTAATTCACAGCAGGGGGATATAAAAACAGCCTTTTCATTCCATAAAGAAATGGCACACGTTAACAAGAAATAATCTACTGAATAATCTCCTGAGTTCAAACCAGAAGCAGAAGTTATTCATTGATTAAGACATATTTCTTGATTAAAAAATGTCTCATAATAATATATATAGCCAGCCATCAAAGTAAGATTTGAAAGAAGGGGGGCAACACAATTAAGCTAAAGATAAAACAAATACTAATTTGGATACAGGGAGTGAGGGGGAGTGTTAGAACATACCTGAAACATGGTCACTTTACCCCTCAAGATCCTCAAAAAGCAAGCACAAGGAAGTATCAAAGACTGCCAGACATTAAGCAATGAGTAATCTTTTTTTTTTTAATGCCAAACATTAAGCAAAAATTTTAATAACAAGAAATTGAAAAAAAATTAATAGAAAACTTACAACAAGCATGGTGAATAAAGATCCAACCAGTGCCATCACGAAACCTGAAGGTGATAAAAATGGAATTAGCTGAAAATTGGTCCAAATATGCTTTTGGTTGCTAAAATGCAAGACATGTTTGAAACTACTGGCCTATGAGATCAACTATAACCCTACATTTAGTCCAGTTACCACGATATGCTTTTCATTTATCTTCAGGTGGGACACATTAAAATGGTGGGTGCACTGCCCCCATTATATTATAGTTTCATGGATCATATGTTACACCCCTGGGAGGGACAGACTCAGTGGCAAAGGAGGCAGGACCCTGTCCGAACAGTTAAGCTATAAGGCTATAACTGGGCCTGAAGGGACTCACTCTGTCTTCACCAAAGAGGACAAAACAGATATAATCATTGCTAATGCAGAGATAGGTATACTAAATTTATCAATAATGTTGTAAGACATACCGAAGAAAGGGACGCTGAGAGCCACGAGCAAGGTAGATATCACCAAAGCTGTTCTAATGAGGATTGCGTACATGTGAGATTTGAGATGGACTGAGGGTATCAATTCCTCGAGACTCAATGCCACCGGCATCATGGTTAATGCATACGTGAATTGCAATTAAGGGAAAAAACACTTTTCTTTCACACACACAAACATGGAATACTCAAAAAGAAATAATACGACTTAGAAGATTTTTCAGCAATTAAAAGCCAATTATCATCAGTAAACCTTTACCTATGTTTGTAAGTAAGAAACATGATAATCCAACCAACTACAACTAATATAACGGGATTAATTATTCCTATATGAGAATTTTACTTTTGTCTTGCATAAGAATTTAACTATGTTACCCACATAAGTATTGTATATGATCCAATAATCTCAGGAAAAGGATATTTGGTGAATGGATTAACCACCTGCAAAAGAATGAAAATGACAGACATTAAACCCACGGAATTCTATATTTATTTTTTAATACTAATATATATATATATCATTTTAAGTATTCTAGTTGTGATCTTATAAGTGTTCAAAACATTTCAAGAGGAATACAAAATATATTCTTGATTGGCATATAACGAAATTCTTAATTTAAAGAACTACTTGTTAGTTGTTACAGCATATAATCTGCAAATTAAAATTTAGCATTTGGAGGAAGGAAAATTTTCTTTTATTCTAAAACACAAGTGGCTATTAGACATTGAAGAAGGAAATACACATTGCCCTGTGATCTTAGCCATTATGATGGTAAACTATATAACTGTTCATCAGAATGCAAAGGTGAAAAAATCTACTCAATTACAGTAGCACCAATTATACTCCAAAGTAAACCTATCTAAGGCACAAAACCTACATTATATCTAAGTGAAGAGGAAAAATCATAACAAGAGAAGAGGAGGAGGTGAGAAATGTTCTAATCAAAGACTTTAATTAAGAATAAAAAATTGTTTTAGTAAGGATTTTAGTGTTATACCGTAGTCCAGACAGCTATTTTTGAAGCTACTAAATCATGGGGCATGTTAAGAGTGAACTGTGACTCTGTTGTTTCCCCAAACATTGTATATCCAATCAGAGCAGCTCCGGCATACAACAAAGTGCAAATGGTAAACCTGCAAAACAACTTAAGAAATTAGGACTTTAGAAGGAATTACAAGAGAATGTCATGAAAATTTAAAAATAGTGGACAATAGCTACTACCAAAAACGGAAAAATAACAAAGAATATCTTTCTCCGTAAAAGGAGAATACTTGATTAAATGGGAAGGTTTGATTAGTACTCCTGGTTCTGATAAAAAGTGGTGATTAGTCAAATATCAACCTGGTCGAGATATCATAAAGCTGTGGAATCTGCAAATATTTGGTTTTGTGGTAGAAAACCTTTATACAGAATTATAAATTTTTAATGGTTGTATAAGATTTGGTTATGACACCGGGATTGCACACAAGGACAGAAAGTAAACCTGAAAACCGAAAAGCTTATATGAAAGCAAAATCATCTAACAAAGTGCAGTTTTAAATTTGAAGAGTAAAGATAATGCAAATTATTCAACTTACGTTGTCAAGAGGACTGATGGGTATTGGCTTGGTTTGGCCATTGAAGTGTAGATGTTTGGGAAGACAGCATGTCCAGAGTAGCAGTAGCCATAGAGCCCAATGGCAACTGGAAGGGTTGTCAGATTCAGTGTAGTCCCTTTGTTATGAAAGCCAACTTGATCCACCAGCCCAATCCAGAACAAGCAGAGAACCACCAATATCGATGCAATGACTCCCCCAGCTGTAAAGAATAAAAAGGGCAAAGTGAGAGAAAAGAAAACACCAATCAAAGTTTCCAAGGGCCATCACTGTTATTGTACTATTAGTATTAACATAAACAGGCAACAAGTACTCTATAAGTCTACTTGTTTTTGTTGGGACAATACTCATTTTACATTGTAGTTCAGACAATCTATCAATTCACTCAGATTGTGCAGTTGCTTTAATTTTACCAAAATAAAACGGGACTCAGCCATATCCTATGTAGTAAAGAGATTCCGTGAGGCGTCTACAGGAGCAAAAAATGGGTAACAAGGAATTAAATTTGAGCAGTTCTCTATTGGATTTGCTCATTCTTTTTTACAGCTTTGTTATTATATATATATTTTCATTAGTGATGAAAACGACCGACCATTCCTAGAACCAATATGTTTGATTATGTCTATTAATCAAACGTTGTTCTTCCTTCTGGTAAGCACAGTTTCTGACTACGTAGATAAGACTTAAGAGATGTACACCATTTGCAATGCTGTAAAATAGCTCTCACCTGAGAACACTAAGCTCTGAAAAATTCAGTATTCATCAGAACCGGGAGGAATCGTAAATAGCTCTCACCTGAGATGTAACTAAGAACACTAAGGTCTCGAAGCCACACAGTAGGAAGAACTGCAAGGATGAATATTAACGCAAAAAGATGGTGAGAGTCCAACTGCAACCCGCCAAAACTTAAATGTGCGTTTGGGAAAAACGACGATAAATTATCGCTTTCCAAAATGACGTACTCGACGCAGCAAGCCTGTAACGTCAGAGACCACAACTGTTCTCATATTAGGACTATTCTAAGAGGTAAAGAACTAAACATGCGTAGAAACAATGAATCAGTTGAAAGAAGCAGTACTTACGTAAAGTTCCACGTATAGAACTATCTGGCACCCAAAACATAAAAGAAGCGTCAGCTATTTTGTTCAAATAGTACAAATGATAACATTTTCTGAATTGAGTTGTCATAAAATCTAAATATAAAATTACTCTTCGTGTCACAAAATTCACAAAAAAATTTCTCTGTAAGCAAGCTAAGTTTAGTCATAGGTGCTAAAAGTGCATCATACACTCAACAAAAAACTAATCCTAGGGAAATGGTTCTGTTCAGCTTATGTCCATCGTTAAATTATGGGTCTTCAAATCTTTCCTTAGTACTTCAATATTCGATTCACGTCTTTTTTGACCTTGCCCCTAACTCTTATAGGCTTTTCAACATGCAAGATGCAACAGAGCATCAGACGCTAGCCATCAGGTTTTATTATGTGTGAACCCCACATATTAGGCCCCGTAAATATCTATGACTTTCAGTGGGCATCTCCTATCGTTTGATAATGGTTGAATAGGTTCAACTGAATCACTACTTTGTCTTTGATTGAACAAGTTGTTTCATAAGGAGAGTTCCTTGATGGCTGAATGGCATGCTGTTGTGATAGCCACTTTTGCTTGTTTGCAGTGCAATTTCATTTACTGAGTGTAAATGAGATTGAACATGAAGCAAATTAGAACTAGAAGCAAAGTAAAGTAGAACATGAAGCAAGAGCAAATTAGGATCTATATTCTTATTTGCACTCGCATATAATTGTATTAATAAAAATGAGTTCACATTGCAAACATGGAGTAAAACATTCTTCACTGGAAAGAATTTTTGAGATTGCTAAAACTTTGAGCCTACAGCTATATAGGTCCTACCCGACCCAGAATATTGGTATAAGCATGTGGTGTGGTTAGTAGGGGTGCAACTTGACGGGTCCAACTCAATCTAGACTGACCCAGTCTGCAATTTCATATGAGTTGGGCTTGGATTCTTTGTCCTTGAGTTGGGCCTGGGCCCAAAAGTTTGGATTTTTTATATTTTGAGTTGGATCTGGGCTTGGACTTTAGGTTTGAGGTAGTCTGTATCCGGCATGACTATGTATATACATACATAAACATATGTTTATATCAAATTTTAGCATTGACTGATTGACCAATCCAATCCCAGCCAAGGCCCAAACCCAGCGTAAGTTCATAAAACTTCAGTTTAGACTTGACCTTGGACTCAGTCCTTATATCCAATTCTTAGAGTTGGGTCTGGGTTGAACTCAAACCAAGCCAGCCCGCCGATTTGCAACCCTGGTGGGTAGAAGTTAGAACGCGCCGTTAGAATTTTGGAACGGTTTGAGTGGAAAAAAGGTTCCGTGGGTTAGGCCCAAGACAGACAAAACTTGGTTAAATTGCAAAAAACAGAAACTTACGGATATAAACAAACGGCCGACGGTACCAAAAGCAGCCTGGCCAATGTCCGGATATGTCTCAAGTCCAGGTTCGCTGTCTAGGCATTTGCGTAACAGGATTCCAGTATACCAGGAGAGCATGGCAATTATGAACAGTATAGAGAGGCCAAGCCAACCTCCTTCCTTGGCTGCATAAGGAGTAGACAGGATTCCAACCCCGCAAAGAACATTAATGCCTGCATTTTACATTTGTGGAAAAATTAGCAAATATAATGAGAACGATAGTATCGCTACTAATACCTAGCAGGAAATGATAAAGCAAGCCCAATTTCCATGCCATAATTGAATTGGTTTAATATTCCAAATCTATAGCCCATAGCTCAAATGATATGCTACTGTTGTTAATTCTTAACAGTGAGACTGAGAAATTTGTCATACATGTATACTTTGAACATGTAAAAGTATAAATTTTGGGACGGCCTACAGGCCCTTAAATACCTAACTAACGCGATCAGGCCTCAGCAGAAGGCAAATTGGTTAACTGAAGAATCAAACCCTCATATCTGAAGATGTTTCTTAAGGCATTTGTTTGTGGTGTAACTCTGAATGAATACAAATTTTGCACCATTTTTATCTTATTCAATTCCTTCTCATATAAAGTGGGGATTAAATCATCTTGGTTCCTATTCACTGTGATACAAAAAAAAACCCTCCTCCTACCATAATAACATTAACTGTGACCATTGTTGCAGAACAATTCAGTGACCTCCTGGGGAACATGCCACCATTTGAAATTAAAAAAAAAAAAATCAACCGATGTAATGTATTGAATTTAATCAACTTATTACAAATGGTGGTGTATTTATTTTTCACGGATGTCACTGATTGTTCATGAGAGCTCCCTCGTCCCTCCTACCTACATTCTCTTTCATATAAGGTGGGGATCATACCATTTGGCTTCCTACTTTAAATAAGACAAAATCAAATATAAAGTTAGCAGAAATAAATCGAATTGTTCACTGGGGGTTGCTGAATTGTTCATGGGAGCTCCCTCCTACCTACATTCTCTTTCATACAAAAGTGGGGACATTATGACGTGTCTTCCTATTTTATTTACCATAATAAGTAAGACAAAATCAAATATGAAGTTAGCAGAAGTAAACCATAATTTATTCAGCCTATTTGCACTCCCATTCATTTTCAGTGATGCAAATCAAATTCACATACAAATAAACTGAGTCTAAATTTCTAATTTTTTCCTTTACTTTCCAAGTCCAGTAATGTGCCCCTCCATTTTCTGCTAATTAAATATGACAACTTAGAAATTCATATTAACTTTTATTTATTTATTTATTCTGGGGGTGGGGAATAATCAAATATGTTTTATTCACATATTCATCTAATTCTAGGACAATATTATCCACTGATAATATTTATACAAATACAGGGTAAATTACATATAATCATCCTGTATGATACTCTTGATATGCAAATTTGTACATAATGAGAATTTCGACTATTATATATATGTAATTAATAGTAAAGACGGTATTTTTTTTGAAATGCATAAAGTCAATTTGAATGCTGTATATTTATTGGAAACTTGTAAGTCTAATACTAAAGTTATTTTTAATTTATCCAATCCAAGTCCTATGTAACTACGCATATCCGATTCACTCGGATCCTTTTGCAATCTTATTAAGACTTAGGAGCATGTACCTATGATCGCGAAATCATCACCCCTAGTTCCAGAGCACCCTGTAAATTAAGGTAATTTTTGGCCTCTACCTGGTCGGAGGACATGGCCCTCACGGACCATGTGCTTAAATGAGGTATAAAGCAAACATCCTTTAGTTCAGTACCCTACTTTATATTAATAGTACTGTTTTCCCTCAACTTCATTGTTGCATCTATAACTCAACATTAGAGTGTTAATCGAAATTGAAGATATCATCATCTCAACATTTTTAAATGTCAAGATTGCAAAGAGTCATTTTACATCCTGCTTCAATAGTGGGTTAGAATCTACCCTAACCCACATCAGCCCACCTGCTTTGATCTGTATATCTACCGCATTTAATATTTTTCTCAAAGCACAAAAATTGATAAAAATTTAAAAGAGTATATAACAAAAAAGTCAAATTAAAAAAGACATAAAAATGATATGTTTTTTCAATAATATATTTCAACCAAAAAATCAAACTTGCAGAAAAAAGTAAATAAAATGATAAAATTTTCAAAAATGGCAAAACCTATAGAAAAGCAACAAAAATGATAAAAAACTCAAAAATATATATTTCAATAAAAAGTAGAAAATACTTAAAATTCATAAATTCAAAAGTTATACATAATTCAACAAACTATACAAAAATTGTAGAAAAGGAAGGACAAATGTAGAATCCAATTTATCATTCAAATGGTCAAAGTTGGATATTTTGATAAATTTACCCGCTTTTATCATCTCAAGATAAAGGAGGGGTGTAGATGTAACAATGTTAGAAAGTTCAAGGGAGAACATTGTTATTAGCATAAAGCAGAGATACATGAGAGGTTTCAGCAATTTACCCATTATAGAAAGTAGAGTTGAGGAGTGGACTCAGTAATAATTGACTTATGTAGTTTTGCATGGTTGCAGTCCCATATCCACATACTTCATAATTGGTATTTGCTACTAATAAAACGCTCCCAACACTATCCCAACAGTCCACACATTAGGAATGCCTCCCTTCCCATTCATGGAAAGATGTTTCCAGTGAATTTGGATCTGCTACCAATAAATGCACCCACCACTGTCCCAACAAGGCACTACAACCACTCATCGGAAAGATCTCCCCATATATGACAAGGGAGGTGTTCCCAATCTGTGAATGCAGTTGCCTGTTGGAACAGTGTTGGGAGCATTGTATTGGTAGCAGATCCCTAGCCATTCCCAATGTACAACTATGATGGTTGGTTGGAACATTATTGGGACTGTATTGGTAGTTGATCTAAATTCCAATGGCACTCGGAGGCCAACAATAAAAAAAATGTTTCAAACCGTTCCAACATGATCTGTGCCCACATCACAGATAAGGTGGATTCTAGACTTCCAGTCTCTTGGTGCAGACACCAATCATGTTGGAAGTGTCTTGGGACTTGGGACAGCTTTTGTTGTGAGCAGATCCCGTCACCGCCCAACTCGGAGGAATCGGGGTTTATCTTCACAACATCTCCCTGTGAATAACAATACAAAATATTGGGAGCAGATCCGGACTCGACTCGGAGTTGAGCCAGGAAGAGGGCTGCTGACTGGGTGCTTAGTAAGTCCTCATTCAGTCAGTCCGTCCCGACTCCCATCCATCACACTCACGGCACATGGCACATGGGCACAAGCAAACGGTCCCGGCTGCCGTGAGAAGGACTGAATGAACGAGGACTTACTATCTACCGCATGCATAGAAAAAATGTTGTAAATATAGTTGGATAGAGCGTCAGGCCGCTTACCATTGAGCACAGATTGTCCGTAGGAGCACTGGCGAGGAGCAGAGGTTTCATGTGAGACCTTGTGGGGTTTCTGATCGGGGGTTATTTTCTTTGCAGAAGGTTTCTTTGTAGGAATAGGAGGAAGTAGAGAGTGAGAGCTCTGCCTCTGCTGTTGTAATTGTTGTTGCTGGTAATCAGTTACTGTGGGTAACAGAGGCTTCACCAAGGTGGATAGTATCTCGGGCGTGTGTCTCCTTTTTAGCGAGGATGAATGGAAAGAACTGCTTAAACTGGGCAATGTAGGAGTTCCCAGAAACCCAATATTGGGTGAAGTCACGCTGCTGTAAATATCCATAGATTGCCTGGAAATTAACCAAGAGCAAACATTAATAGTGTCATTACATTAACTATTCAGTGAAGAAAAGTGGCATTGATTGAACAAATCTGATCCAGAACAAAAGGAATTGATGAGTCCTGCATCCATGGTCGATAGGGAATGATCCTGTCTTGCTACGTGGCAGCCATCCTGGTCGTTGGATTTGGAAGAATATCCAGGTTGGATGGATTTCGTCTTTATATATATATATCATCAACAGAAGAGTGAGTCTAAGACCAAAGTTTTTGATCCAAGAGGAATATTTTTAAGTAATGGATATTGGAAAACAGTGCAAAACACTTGGAGTGGAGGAACCAAGAGTGGATGCAATGAGACATCTACCGAAGTACCTGTAACTCTGTGGCCAGGTAGTGTTGTAAGAACTGGGCCTGTTTTTCTGTTGGCTTCCAACCGATGAAGCATCGGATGAATCTGAATCATTGCCGTCGTCAGCTCCCTTGGTATATGCCTTCTCTTCGTCTTCATCTTCACTCTCAACGTAGAAGCTCTGCTCTGAAACAGAATTTTTCATTTCTTACTCTTTGATAAGGTCCTTTTCCCTGCAAAAGATTCTAAGCTTTCTTAGTCCTTATATGGAACTTCATCCGACTCTGTGTTAATGGAAGAAAGAATTTACTAACGAAATTAAGTTCTTAAGACTGTTCTTGACTTCAATCTCTTGGAGTTAAAACCAAAAGTGGAGGGAAATGGACCAAAACACCGTAGAAACTAGAAACTGTGCTCTGAAGTTGTAACAGAAAGCTTCGGCAATCGAATATCACCGAAGAACTCCAAATAGATACTCAAGAGCTTTTAGATCTGGCCTACCTTTTAGAGTCTTGCTTCAATCTCTCTACGATCAAGTCGTTCTGGAAGCTTTCCTGGATTGAATATAGCCTAGAGAAACCTGGTAAAACTGTAAAAATTATACTAAAATCAGACATCGACAATTAACAAAGAAGGAGAGATCCACAATGTTAGAACACAAGACAAAATCAGTAGTTCACGGGGACAGGAACTCGAAATAGAAACAAAAATCTCAAGAAGAGCAAAAGATTCTAGAGAAGAAGCTAAAGGTTTCAAGAGAATAAAAGCGTAGTATGGATATAGCACGTCAGATTTTGAGGCTGAGATATCGGGATACAGATCTACAGAAAATCTGCATTTCGAAAAGGAAAGAAGAAATGCCAATAAAAGATCGGAAGAGGCTATGGAAGCAACAAATAATGTAAATCGTGCTTATCGAAGCTATAACCTTATCAGAGCGTCGGTATCTTGAAAATCGGGAAGCAGCTCTCTTCTTCTCTCACGGACTACTGAGTACTGAGTAGTGTTGTGGTGTTCTACTGGAGAGCTTTGTTCAATCGTCTCGGGTCTCCACAATCCACTCTTCAACAATCTTCAGTCTTCAGCGAATCGTTTATTTATATCTTAATCGTTCTTCGTCTCTCACTCAGACTCAGTCTCCCAGTCACTCTTGAACATTCATGAAAGGGGGTTACGGCCTACTTACGTAATACACGGGAACGTTGGCAGCGAATTGGAGCTCGGATAGGCTCCCTACTCCGCATCCCAACCTTGCAGCGGTAAGGGAGATGTTCCCAATTCATGGTTGGGATGTTCTGTAGGGAGTGCGTGGGGAGCGCTCTGTGACAGCCCGTACAGTTTAAGTGAATTGGTGGAATCCTTCACGGCTGGAAGTGTCGTGAGGTGGGTGTAAGAAGCAAATCCCAGTTCGAATTGGTGTAATCTTAGGTGTTGTTTGGCATAATTGTGTTTTTTAACTTTTTTTTTTTTTTATTGAATCCACATGATATCGGGAAAAACTTACAACCAATCACCACCTAAAATTAAAATCAAAGTCCGCGGAGGCCTTTTTCTTCTTTTTATCTTTTCTAGTGGGATCATGGCATGTGTCATGTTAGTAATTGATAGATTTTCTTTCATTGGGTTTCCTCCCCAAGGTCTCTTTGACAGAGAGGTTTGTTTTTTAAGGTAGTCAGGTACATAAGATCTTAATTCTACATGATGCCGGAATTGGATCTACTATTAAGGATTGTTAAACCTCAGTTTGGAAGGAGTATGAATACAAATATATAGAATATAAAACCTTGTATTTTCTATTATCTTATATATATTTGTATTTATACTCTTTTCAAATTGAGCCTAAAAGGATAAACTGGCAAAAGTATGCAAAGATGATTGAAGCATCAAGACTCTATTTGGGAAGAGAGCAAATGCGAAAATATTCATTACAAATTCTTTTATATGGTCCATACTTCTATTTCTAAACCTTATATAGAATTCGAGACATTGTCCAAATTTGCCAAAAATGAGAAAGCTTATTAACATCCCTAAACACATGATTGGAGGAGATAATATTAATTGCCACTAGATTCCACACTATGCCAAATGTGTTTTTGAATTATAGCATTGCATGAGTTAGCTACTTTTAATATGCTGGCCTGGGAGTGCTTAAAAATAAGTGTTTATTGAAACAAGCACTTATTTTGGGCCAGGACCACATCAATAATCATTTATTGGCATTTGGGAAATAAGTCCTAAATAAGAATAAGTGATTATTTGAAAAGCTCAAAATTCAGCCTTATTTTTTAAGTCCTTATTCAATAAGCACTTATTTTCTTTCTAACCTGTATTGGTCTGCCACGCCATTTCAAAAATACCTATATTACCCCTTGTGACTCAGAGGATTTAGAGTCGCCACCCATTTTTTAGAGGAAATGGGCCCTCATTTTTAGTTGTGAAAAATCGATTTAAGTCTTTGATAATGATTCCGTTTTTCATGGGAAAGGCACACAACCAAGAGATTCGAGTCCCAAGAATTGGGAGAGGGAAGGTGCTATGCACCCCTCTCTCCAAGCTGTTATTTGCAGCCCAAAATGGGAGTTGTCCAGGCTCAGTTTCTTTTTAGAGAAAACAAAAATGGTTGCAAGAGTTTCTTAAATCTGGAGGAACATGCTTTCAACTCCTCCTAAGACCGATTTTGAGGTAATGTTATCGGGTCTTAGGTATTGATTTCCCTAAGACCCTTGCCTCTTTACCTCTACTTTTAGTTAAGAAGAAATTGTAAGCAATGGTTCTCCAACATTTCAGAACCTCAAGTAACCCAAAAAAACTAAAAAAGACTTACCTTTCGTATGTGCCTTGACGGGAGTTTTCCAACAACTCGAAATGAAGTAGAATGAAGCTTGAATAGGTTCTTGAACTAGGGAGTGCTTTCGGTTGCGGCAACTTCCGCTTGAAAATGGATGAGACAAATTTTGAATTTGGGGTTTAGATTACTTCCGAGTTTTGGGTGAACAAGAGGAAATATCGGTTGGAAGAAATCTCCTCTCTCTCTCTCTCTCTAGGGAACTCCCTCAGGTTTTCTCTCTTCTGTCCCTTCCTCAGGTTACCTCCTCGGTCCCCCCCTTCTCAATCTCGAGTTGGGTCTCTATTTATAGAGAAAATGGTATGAAATTCACTCAGCTACAGTGTCTATGGCTGAGCAGAGTTCTTTCATTGAAATAGGCAAGATTCTTTCAAAGAAATGGGTGCCCAGTCAAGCTTTCTTATTTGGTGAAACATTTTCTTTGATTTGGAGGTGGTTTTCCTGGGTTTTGTGTAGCCAATGGGAGCTGAGGGTGTGCTAGACGCTGCAGTCTCATATTTGGGGCTGTCAATTGGGGTGTCAACGGTATTTGAAAATCCGATTTCGAATTTGATATTCGACATAATCGAATCGAATTCAGATATCCTATTCTTACCGAATAGTTAATCGGATTTGAATTCGGATATGACCTGATTCGATTCGATAAATATCCGATAGGGCTATTAATGGGTCAGGTTGGGTTGGTTTACTGGCGTTTTTCCAATCGACCCGACCTGGTCAGGTTACCTAGAAATGAAACTGAAACCGACCCAGTACTAAGTAAAACCGACCTAGTCAGTTTGAATCAATTTGGGTCGGTTTCGTGAATGATTCTCTTGGTGTGAAAGGTAAAGGATTCAAGTCTAAGAAAGCAAAGACTGGATGCCTGGAAATTAAAAATGATTTGATGGATTAAAACTGATATTTTATATATCAGAAATTTTATATATAATATGTATATTTCTGAAATAAAGCTGAAATAGATATATTTCCACAAATATATATTAAATATATATATATATATATAATATGTATATTTTAAAAGTGGTTTTGTCTTTTCTTGGTTTTAAGTAGGGGTTTGTTTAGAATTTTGGGTTTTTTAAGCCGATTAGGCTCTGTTTCATTGGTCCAAGTGTTATAATGGGTCAAGAATGGGTATGACGTCAGCCATCACCCATATAAGTCTTCAGGTTGGGCCAGATGACATGGCGATTTAATCTGGTGCGTTGAAACAACATCTTTCTAGTTTAAAGGTCAAACGAATGAGTCTGGTCAAGAAATTTGGCGTCTTGGGGTTTTTTTTGGTCTCTGAACACAATGGTGAGGTCTGATCGGAAAAATGGGGTTGGGATGATTGAGATCTATGGCTGATAAGTTTGGATTAATGAGATTTGCTGAAACAGAATCATTGTTTGATGAAAGGTCAAATGGGGGAATTTTGGGATGAAATTTGGTGGGTTGGCACTTTTGATCATCCTGAATCTAATGAAAGTGATGGATCTTTGTTCATAGATGTAGATTGATTGATTTAGTTCAGATCATGGTCTTAGCTTATGGTTTTCCGATCAACGAGAGGGTTCGAAGTGGAATCTTATTTTTTTAATAGTCAAACGGAAGTGTTTGGTCGTGAGATTTGACATGGTGAGGTTTTTTGGGTTTTTGAACACAAAGGTAAGGTCTGATTTGTCATGTGAAGTTGGGATTATGGTTGGTAGGCTCCAATTAATTAGATTTGTTGGAATAGGATTTAGGCTCGATGGAGGGCTAAATGAGGGAATCTTGAGCTACAATTTGGTGGGTAGGCATGGATTAAAGGGGAGGATTCAAGTGGATGGTTCTGATCTGAGAAGGATAAGGTCAATCTTGGTAATCATTCAGGGTCATGGGATCTTGGTAGATTTGTGGTGGGATTCGCTAGTTGATTACTTCCTAATGATCTTGGGGTGATGGATATGTTGGATTTGATTTTGGAGTTGGGATTTGGATATCATATAGATCGGGGCCATTAGAAGGGAAGTTAGTGTGATGAATAGTGGATCTTTAGAGTTTAGTCATGAAAATTGATGTGTAACTAGGTTGTACTTTTCAAAGTTTAGGGATGATGTCTGATCGGATGTTGATATTGATCTCAAGGTTCTTATTTGTCTTGTGGATTGTGTCAAATGAGGGTATTTCAGATTTTGGGAAGTCTCGAGCTGATCTGGTTATGTTTCTAAGTATCTGGGGTCTAAGAGGAGGGTGCCAAGAGGTGGGGTGAAGGGACCGAGCAAAAAATAGGTGCTAACACCCCTATTTAAAATAAGTGTTTTTTCACCAAATGCTCTAAGTGCTAGGGGTGTTGGAGGAAATAACTTTCCGTTGTTTTGAATCTTTTGACAATCTCTTCTAACTTGGTTTAATGAGCAAGTACTGAACCACCAAACAATGACTTCATTGAGTTGTCAACAACCTAATTGCAGAAAAATCAGAATACTGCAGATGCTAACTGGCTCACCCTGTAATTGGTGTGTGTACGTAATGCACATTGGCTTGGGATCAATTCCTGCCTTCACTTCTCTACTCCAACCCTTAGGCTGCGTTTGGAAGTGATGCAAAACGTCATCGATGTAAAAGTGCATTGATGAGGTTCCGAACCTTAAAAAAGTTACCATTGAGCTTCGAAAAGCATGGAGAAAAGCGTTGGGTTTTTACATCGATTTTATCATGTAGTATTTACATCAATAATCGATATAAAACTTTACTTTTATTGAGGTTTTACATCGATTTACAACGCAAAACTCCATTCCATCCAAACACTAATAAATCTAAACTAGAGTGGAGTTTTACATCGATCTTGATTTACACTCCATCAAAATGTCGACAATACTGAACTGACGTAAATTTTTACATTGATAACGTTTTGCAATGCTTTCCAAACACAGCCTTATGGTTCTCTTAAAAAGGACAAACACTTTAATGCTACATCAACATTTCCTTTTCCAAACAGGTTTCTACTAGAAATGTATGTGGCTACAACTTTATTGGTGTTGTGCTGCTGATCAAGGCAAAATGACAACACCAAGAAGGCAAAAACAGCAGCCACTTCAAACACCTTCTCAATTGATGGCTTCTCTTTACAACCTATTATATATTCTCTATGCGGGTTCTGAGCACTTTTGTTATATAAATTGCCTTTTGTTCTTCTTCAATACTGATTTTGATCTTTAAACCTTGACCCTTCTTCACTCCCAATTAACCCCAGACAAGGAAAAGAAAGATAGGAAAAGCAACCTAAATTTGCAAATTTCCCACCATTACATGGCAATCTTAATATGTTTACCCTTTTCTCTCATTTTTC